GCCTCAATGATTGCACTGCGGAGGAGGCCGTACGAGCATTTTTCAAGAACGTTGTGAAGCATTGGGGCTTACCAAGGAGCATCATCAGTGACTGAGACCCTCGATTCACCGGACGCCTATGGACGAAATTATTCAAGCTCCTTGGCACCGAGTTAAATTTCTCCACAAGCTTTCACCCTCAAACTGATGGGTAGACCGAACGAGTGAACGCTTTGTTGGAGTGTTACTTGCGGCACTTCGTGAGTGCCAACCAGCGAGATTGGGCAAAGTTGTTAGACATCGCCCAATTCTCTTATAACCTGCAGCGGAGTGAAGCCACAGGCCGGAGTCCGTTCGAGCTTACAACCGAACAACAACCGCTCACGCCACACACATTGACAATGCCACTTGATGAGGGAAAAAGTCCCGGAGCCACCAAGATGGCTAAGTCACGGGAGGAGAATGCCGACATCACCCGTGCCTGTTTAGAGAAAGCGAGGAAGAAGATGAAGAAGTGGGCGGACGAGAAGAGGCGACATCGAGAGTTCTCCATTGGAGACTTAGTCCTTGTGAAGCTTTTGCCACAACAGTTCAAAGCTCTTCGAAGCGTTCACAAAGAACTAATACGGAGATACGAGGGACCGTTCCAGGTACTTGCCAAGTTGGGTAAAGTGTCTTATCGCTTAGACTTGCCAAGTACACTTAAGATTCATCCGGTCTTCTATGTAAGTATGCTCAAGCCATATCATGCCGACAAGGAAGACCCAAGCCGAGGGTATTCGCATCGAGCACCTCCCGTAGTAACCAAGTCTTACGACAAAGAGGTGAAAACTGTGCTCACAAGCAGGACGGTCCGTAAGAGAGGAGTCCCACCGCGTACCGCGTATTTAATCAAGTGGAAAGGACTACCAGAGTCTGAGGCAACATGGGAACTAGCTGAAGACTTGTGGCAGTTCGAAGAACATCTCAAAGCGTACGAGGCGACGAGGACGACGCCAGAATAGGTGGGAGAGAATGTCACGAAATTGGGCCTTTTCCCCACACTTTGGGCTATTTTGGCTATGTTGGGCCACACTTGGTCTTGGAGGTTGATATAATACTGTAGATTATTCTAGAATACTCAAGACTTGTACATATTCTAGAAGCATTCTACAGTCTTCCATGCTAGGTATAAAATTATGGAGAATTCTAGAGAATCTCTCCCTACCGTAGGATCAAGTTAATCTCCACCGTCCATTGAGGAGGTGGGAGGCTATAAATAGATGTAGAATCCTCATTTGTAAATCATCCAAGAGTTGTAAGCTTTCAAGCATATCAACAAGCTTTCTCTCAAAGTTCTTTCATTTCTTCTTTGTTTCCTTGCCAATCCTTTCCCACATTAGCACGAGTTTGAGTGAGGCTGACTTAGCTATCGCGAGGGGCGAAAAGGAGCTAAGGTTGCACGAGGCTTATTGAGAGATTAAGTCCGTGACAGTGCACTCCAAAAACGAAAAGTATCAACAAAAAGATGTACACCTACCACGAAATATCTCGTGACGATAATTTAATTAAAAAATAATATAATGAATATAATTTAAAATGTTATAAAATGTATTATATATTTAGTTAAATATGATTTAAAATGTTAATTTTTTTATTAGTTTTCTATTACGTACTTCTTTTATAATATTTTTAATTATTAATAAAAAATAATATTTTTATAACATTTTTAATTCAACCAAAAATATTAAAGTATTAATATTTTAAAATTTACTTAATCAAAAATATTATATTTTTCTATAACATTTTCGAGTACATTCATCTCCTATCATCCTTTAGCATTTAATTAGATGGTCATACTACATAATTTTCGGTGCAAGACTGGTAATTCATGCTCTTGCCTTGCCACTTAGCCACGTTTAAAATTCCTATTGGTTAGACCGTCTAAGATGGGACTCTTCCTGTAGTTTTTTTTTGGATAACGACACGTCGGTCGCAGGATATCATAGATACAAACTTTGCTGGGAGTTTGGAATACAAACTTTGCTGGGAGTTTGGAACTCTTAGGTATGGTTTTCAGAACCGGACCGATTAGTGAATCAGTTATGCTATCGGTTTATTGATTCAATCGATTGAATTGATCTGACCAGTCGGAAGAACCGGACGACGTCATAATTATTTAAAAAATTAATAAAAATACAAAAAATATTTAATAAAAAATAATTTTTTATATCACAATTCATATTCAAAGCAAGTCATAACGTATATAAGTTAAAAACCATAAAATCAAGTGAAACAAAATGATTCAAATTAACTACAACATAATATTTAAGGTAAAACATATTAAATAATAAATATAATTATATAACTATAATTAAAAAATAAATTTGGGGCTAAAAAAATCATAACAAAATGATATTGTTTGGTTTAATTTTTTTAAAAAAACAATTTCACATGGCTAAGAAATATAGAAGATCATCCCAACTAACTTCTATAAATAATAGAGGTAATTTGACATTCAAAATCATGAAGCCTTTTGGTGAACATTGAGTGAACTATTCTTTTACTTCAATCAAGCTCGAATTTTAGGCTTCAATCGAGCTTCTAAATTTTTTTTGAGTTCAAGCCTTTTCGAGTTCAAGTTTCAATATTATATTTCGAGTTCGAGTTAAACTTCATAATTTTTAGCTTGTGAGTTTGAGTCGAGTTGAGTTTACTTTTAAATTTTTCAAGTTCGAGTCGAGCTCAGCAATACTCGAGTTCCACTTGGCTCGTTTAACAAACGTCGTTGTTTGGTTTAATTTTTTAAAACAAAAAACAAAAAATTCGGTTTTTCCGGTTTTCAGCCGGTCCGGTTTGAACGGTTTAGCGGTTCTGGCCGTTCACTAGTAGCGGTTCAACCGGTCTAAATTGAACCAGACTAGGCAACGGTTCCCGGTTGAACTGACCGGTCCGGTTCGATTTTCAAAACAGAGCTCCTGGGCCACTCACTCGTACATTGGAAATTTGGAATGTACACAAATTCGAACTCGATTGGTTTCAATTTGATTTAATTTGATCATATCAAAATTTTTTAAAATAATTAGGTTTAGGTCAGATATGATCAGATATTTTAGAGGATTTGTTTGGCCCATGTTGGGTTTAGTTTAGGGTGAAAAATATCCGACTCGATCTGATTTGAAAAATAATTTAAATTTACTTTATATATTTAGGGATATCTGTAATAATAATCCTCTATATATTATTTTTTCAATTAGATCCCTTTTTATAGAATAGATATATATATATATATATATATATATATATATATATATATATATATATATATATATATATATATATTACGGGTCTAATCATGTTCGGGTTTTATATAAAAAAGTCAGACCGGATTCGGGTTGGGAGAAATTACCCCTAAATTTCGGTCACGTCGAGTTTCGGGTGTATGGTATATATTTTATGGTCGGGTTGACCGAAACGCAACCCATGCCCATCCCTAATCGTTTGTGTATATGTATAGAATACGTATGCACGTATTTGATTTGAAATTTAATAAAATAACCTTTATGATTAAAAATAGTTTTCGTTGTTTGGCATTTTAGTTATATATATTGTACATCTGATTTTAAATATTGGGTTTAACATAAAGTTTTCATTTATTTATTTAGGACCAATTATTTGAATACAACCTACAAGTGGATTAGGGAACTATTGAGGTTGACATTATTGTTCATTTGTGCATCAAATTAATCTCGATTAATCGTAGTATATTCAATGAAAATCAAAGAGCATAACTTAAAAATGCTAATGAAAGGCACAAATCAATTTATTTTAGTGGTTACAAGAATTATTGTTATTCCTAGAAGTCTCAGATTCGAGTATCAATAACGGCAGTATGGGTAATTGAGCGTTTATTGTCAAATGATTGAAAATAATTACTTCATAATCATCTTAAATTAATAAAAAAATACTAATAAAAGATCTAATGTCATGATAATTAACAGTCCATAATAGACCCCAACAAAGGGAGAAATGAATAACTTGATTAAGCAAGTTGCTTAATAATTAAATTAATGCTTTGATGCCATGACAAATCTTTCACAGTTTTGGTTGTCATCCAGCTAAATACTGCAATGCTTTGATTGATCTTCTTTATTTTATGATTGCTATTTCTTCCCCCGCCCATGGGTCAAGTCTTTTTTTTAATTAATCACTGATATCCAATCTATTGATTGATTAATTCAGATCGAGTATTGTAGAGGTGAGAGCGATCCTCCCAACCCAGTTTGCTCTGTTTACAAACGTAAGAATTCGAACCCCTGACCTTATTTTGAAAAAAATTTAAAAGTTTAAGTACTAAAACAGAATAAAAATGATACTTTAGGTACTAAATATGTAGTTTACCCTTGTATCAATTTAGGCCGTGAAAAATGCTGTTTGATTTGATAATAGGTAAAGCACACAAATTGTCACTAATTTATGTTGAAATAGTTTTTTGGTTACTTAAATTTTAAAAGTTATAAAATAGTCATTAAACTTCATCAAACTATTACAAAATAATCATTAAATTTTATTTAACTATTACAAAGTGATCCTTGAACTTATCAGGATTTGTCATTAATTTATAATGTACGGTGATCATTTTATAACAATCGATAAGTTTAATAATTAATTTATAACTTTCAAAACTTTAAAAGCCAAAAAAATATTATTTTATGATATTTTAACGACCATTTGTACATTATCCTTTAATAATTGTTATGAAGTACATGTAGTATTAACTAAATAAGATTTTTTCTTGATTTAATCCTTAAACTGTAATTCAATTAATAATTTATTTATTTAAAACTAATTATATATATATATATATATATATATATATATGCATTCATCATGACAATGATTTTGAGCAAATAAGTATTTACTATTCAAATTTAATCAAAATCAGTTCGGTTCATAAATAGTTGTAGTTAGGACCGTAAACGAGACAAGACAGATAGTGAGTTAACTTGAATTCTTATACATATTTTAAATATTCGTTTTAAATATTCTCAACCATTTGACAATAAACGCTCGATTACCATGCTACAATCACTGGTGTTCGAACCTGTGACCTCTAAGAACAACAATTCTTTACCGGTTGAGATAAAAGCCATATTCCTGCTACATACGGATGATAATGGTAAGCAAGACTTACAAGTATTATTTAGCAGATATATTCTGTTGCCTGTAAGTAGTCCAACTCAAATCCACTCATAGAGAAGACTGTCCGTTCGACTCGAATAGCGTATGCTCTTCTGCTAATGCTCTCTCATTCCCCACAACGGACACCCAACTTTCAGAAATTTTATCCACTTGTCCATTTGACATTTCAACTAAAGTGAAGGCTCGTTTGGTACCATCGGAAACGGATGCTGGCGGCAAGGTCTCGTTTATAGGTCTCACTCTGGGAACTATGGCCCCATTCAGGTATATAATGTCATCAGTCCCGACTACAATCATTTTACGAAGGCCATTACCATGTCTCAATTCCTTGTGCATGTGACCAAAAACGACAAGCGGAATAGAGAAGGCAGCAGTCTCTTTCAAATGGGAGATAGATTGTGCTAGATCTGTACCAGAAAATATTTTTGTTAGCTTGACAAAATGAGGCCATTAATCTATCTCGGCTTAGCCAAACCCAGATAAATTACCTGGATCCCCAAAATCACCACCTTCAAACACCCAATCTTTTCCACAAATGTCATTCAATTCACTGCCAAGACCTGCAAAAAGTAACACCTAACACTTTTTATACGAAAAAACAGAGTGGCCTTAATTAAAGGTTGAATTGGCAAGTCCATACACCTGTGGGTCCATTATGTGCAAGAAGTATAACTAGATGATCTTCTGGGGTCCCAAGTACAGCTTCATAGATTCTCTTGGCACTTGCATCCATATCTTGGATTCCATACCTTAATGACACTCCAATTCGGTAAATTGTAACATACATAAAAAGTCTATGATGAGCAAGATAACACGATTCACAATCCCATTAGAATGGACAGCTTAATTTGTTAGCTCATTAGGTTACTACCTTGCAGACAGAAGCCTTTTCCGGAATATCTGCTGACCCCCACATGAAAACGGCCGTCCGCCAACAACACTGAGCTTTAGTAAAGGGAAGTCCAAACGTTTATAACCTACATGCTCCTGTCCAAGACTATAGCATGAAAGCAACATTATTATTATTATCAACTGATGCCCTTCGAACTAAAATTAAAAATGGTTATAATGTGAAAAAAGGTTATACGGTGATGCATCTAATTAACTTTTTCCATGTTCGCATAGCTAGCTACTTTATCCTTCTTCCTAACCATGAAATTATGTGATGGATTACAGAAACATGTATTCTCAAAATTTCTTTTCACAGGTCAGCAAAGCTCACCATTCTAGCTGAAGTTGAACTTGATCCTTCCCCCTAACCATGGAAATATGTGACGTATTAGAAATCATTAGATTGTCTAATGCATAGCTTGCTACTTTAGACATGCACAAGAATCACAACAACAAAATCCAAACACATCCAACAGGCATATTAGTCAATCCATTGTGCATGAGTAACTTACTTGGAAGAAAACTGTTGAGTGCTCCAAGAATCATGATTTCCCAGAATAACTGCTTTTGGAAAGTTGAGAGCAGCTACATTTTGAACTAGTTCAACATTCTCATTACCAAAATCACCTGAATAAATCAAAAGCACGTGAACAAGGAAAAAAGGGAGAGGCAAAAGAATTACAGCCTATAGGGTTAGATTTTGGGAAACAAATGTTACAAGTTGTTCAGGTAGTGCAAGAGCTAGATATTAGCTGCATGAATTACATGCCGAAGCTACAATTATCTTTTCTTTTAAATGAATCACAATTATGGTGTACCAGACATATCCAAGAGTGTCAAATGCCAATAGACTCTAGCCTCAACCCGGTTACAATGCTTGTCTCCTTTCTACTCACCAATTGGAGTCGGCAAACAAATACTCCAAAAACGAATACTCATAGCACACATTGAGTCGATAGACACTGAGGAAAGGGGAACCTGCCTGTGAAGAGCACCAAATCCGGCTGCATTTTCACAAAAATCTCTTATCAGAGAGGTACACAAGATCTATGTGCAAACTTTCAACCTTCAAAAGAGTTCATGTAAAGCAGAAAAAGCTACTAAAAACAAATCTTTAATTGGATGGAATCTTTTTAAACAATCAATACGATCGATGAAGTGCAATCATACAATTTGTACGATTTCATTTAACACACGTAATCATGCAATCTAAGGTTAAGATTCTCAAAGCTTGAGCGCCGAGTTAATTACAAGCACCAAAATCGCTCTAGCAGAAACTAAAGTAGAACCCTTATTTTTTATTCCTCTCTCAAAATTAAAACTTTTGTTATAACTTCAGTACTTATTAAATTTCCAAACAAAAAAAAATTACCTTGAGAAATTGAAGTGCCTTGGTGTCTTCTTCAAGGTCCCAGTCATCGTGCTTCAACAGAAACCCAAATTTAGAAAGAAAAAAAAATCAAAAGGAAAATTCCAATATGATACATAAGATTAAATAGTGAAAACTGAAAAGGAAACTGACAGAGGAAAGGGGTGAACTTACGACGTCTCCGACGACGGCGATTCGAACAGGAGAAGAGGAAGCCATCGGAGGACAACAAGGCAGGTCTCTGGCTCAGGCTGAGCGGGAGACGAAGAGCAAAAAAAAAACAGAGAGGAGGCGCGTGGATCAAACAACTATTCCATCATTAAGAGAGTCAACCGTTTATTCAACTTTGAATTGGCGTTTGATTTCACGAGAATGTATACATATTATATATAATCTTTTGAATAATTACACGCGTACTCATTAAACTTTACTTTCTATTATTTCACTTATTATATTTTTAATTTTTTTAATTTAATCACTGAATTTTAGAGATTAAATTTTTTTACCACTCCATAATTTATTTCTTAATACCATCATGACCTGGTATTATTTTATTAATTTCTTAATTAATTAATATTTTATTAATATTATTTTTATATATTTTTTATTATGCCCAACCCCGTCTTCTCTTCAACGTTCTAATCTCTCCACCATCTTTTCTTTTCCAAATTTCCTTTAACCAAACAAATCATAGATAATCCCTTCAAGCAAAAAATGCAAAAAGAAAACCCTTCTTCCTTTGGCACTTAACAAAGGACGAAAAAACCCAAATTCAAACCTCAATTCATCAATGGCATCTTTCTCCCCTATTTCAAAAACCCAAATTCTAAATAGGATATATTGTATCCTCAAAAAACACTGACGTAACTTCCACAACAAAGGAGAAATTCTTCCATTAGATAGCTTACCGATGCACTAAAAGCACCTCGTCACAATGGTCGGTTTGGGGCACCAATCTCAGTGGACCAAGAATAGTGGGTACCCATGCTTTGATTGCCTTCATGAACTCCCATGGTGTGAATCAAGAAAAAACTGAAGATGTTTCCATGAAGGTGCTGCCATGGTGAGGGATGGGTGGGGGTTATAATTTGGGAATTAGGGTTTGAGTTATTTGAGGTGCTTTTTAGATTGAAATTTTGAGTCGTTGACCTCCGAAGAAGGTAGCTGGTGTTAGTCAGAACGAAAGTCGACATGGTGACCAGAATCTGGGTTTGTATAAGTTGAGGGGAGGAGAGACAATGGGACGAGCGAGGGGAGGAAATTAGAGAGACGATGGGAGGAAGGAAGAGGAAGAAAAAGAAAGAATGAATGAAAATTATTTTTTAATTATTTTTTTTGTTTTTTAATAATTAAAAAATATTTAAGTAATCTAAGTCATAATCTCGTTAGAGAATTAACGGTCGAGTGATTAAAAAAAATTTAACGTCTAAAGTTTAATAAATAAATTAAAAAAATTAAAATTACGATAAATAAAATAAAAAAGAGAAAGTAAAGTTAAGCGTTTACCCTAATATTTTTACATGTTAATCAAATTTTAGCAATTAAAGACTGAAATGAGCTTGTTTTAAAAAATAATGTTTTAAAATAATAACTCTTTACGTTTACGACAAGCAATTGCGGAGAAAACAATGGTAAATATTTATATTTCTTTCGAATCTTAACGGGCCGGCCTTTCTAACATAATCATGTTAACTAATAAAAATCAGACACCACTAACTCTGTCTTAATCGCCAAGGGACATTAACTTCCTTTTAAATCATGAAATTTAATACCCATTTTTATAAAGATTATAGTTTTTTAATCTAATTCAATTGTATTACTCAATTTTTACTAGATTTGATATTACTCTGTGTTAATCGCCAGGGGACTGCATATTATTATGCCCCACAGGAGAACTTAATCCCTGTTGAACACGCAAGTTAATTACCATGCATTTCATTTTTGAGATGAAAAAAAAACAACCACCCATTTTGGCCATGAATTCATTTTCATCTAAAGTTGCAGCTAAGGGTTTTGTTGATTTGCAGGCATATGAGCTGCGGACCGATGAACGAGGCCCCGAGTTCATCGATGCATCGCTCGATGATTCGTTTTCGACATGTAAAATAGTTTGATGTATGCATTGCTTCGTATCCAAGAAAACCCAGATGGTAGACCAACCATGTTAGAAGCTTTCAGTGTGCTTAAAAATGATTCTATGGCGGCTACTACTCCTAAAAGAAGATGAAGCAACAAGAAATTTGGTCATTCAATGATCCACAGATTTCACTATTGGAGCGCCGGCGAGACTGCCTGTTTCTGGAAGATAGCAACCACCAACAACAAAATTTTGCTGATTTTGTCATGATATAATTGCAAACACATGAACTATTCTTTCGTTTTAATATTATTTAGTATCTAAAAAAATTCATTTACGAACTAAATTAACTTAGTGGTTAAAGAAATAGTTTTTATTCCTAAAGGTCTCGAGTTTGAGCACTAACGACTACAGCAGAAGTGATCGAGCGTTCATTGTCAAATGATTAAATTTTTATAGAATATATACTAATTCATAATCACATTAATTTATTAAAAAAATCATTGAATAAGGCACCATGAGACACATTACTTAATAAGTTCACATGTACCTGCTTCTTATAATAATGATTTCTCTATCTTGATAACGAGATAATTGTGCATAAGGTCCCAAACCATGTTCCACATTATAAATTAATTTCTAAATTATATAATCTATACCAATCTTCAAACTATGAACCTTCTAGATTGATCTTAAATTTTAAAAGATTTTATATCAATCCTCAACTTATTAGTATCATTCTATTTTGATCATTTCGTTAAGATGTCATTAACTCTACTAGTTACAAAAATTAATCTATTTTTTTGAAGTTCTTGAGAATTTATCTCGTGATTTTCTAAAAATTCCGAGGACCTTCAAAAATAAATTATTTTTTTAGGTCATGAGTTCAATTCTCAAGAATTAAGACCTTCAAAATTGGATTAATTTTTTAACTAGTACAATTAACAACACATTAACATAAGGACCAAAATACAATGATACTAATTGAGAATATATATAGAATAGTTTAAATTTTAGTGACCAACTTAGAATAAAATCATAGTTTATGGATTAATATATAATATTTAATTTAAAAAAAATTGATTTGAAATGAATGTCATAGTTTAAGGATCTCCTACACAATTAAATTTCTTTAAAAAAATTAATTAATATGATCAAACATAACTCTCAATCATTTGATATTGAACACTCACAAATCTGATATTCTTGGCACACGAAGTCAGAACCTCAAAGAATAATAATAATTTCTATCGAGACCGCTTGATTCGTGTTTATTTAAAAATCAAAGATATATCTTGTTGAATATTTCCATTGACAAACCGCTGATATATATATATATATATAAGAGTTCTCCATTTGTCACTGCCTTCACATTCACATCCATTTCATCTCGACAAGCAAACGCGGGTACCCAGACAAATACAAAAGGCCAATTATATAAGTCTCAAACGCATACTGACTACGAAAAGGTTGTTCTGTCTTTTTATTTACTGTTGTTTTGAACAGTTCCTATATAATATATATGTTTTGTCTGTGTATATAAACATGTGTTCTTTGATCCTCTGAGAAGTCACTTGCAATAATGGCAGCCCTCGTCAAATTCTTTTTGCTCTTTTCCCTTCTTCATATCGTCTTCTTAACAATGTCTACAAGGTCAGTTGTCATGGCGTCGCCACCGGCCGTCAAAGGAGCTTATTATTCTTCAGACCCGACGGTTTTCCCACCATCGGCCATAGATACATCCTTGTTCACTCATATTTACTATGCTTTTCTCATGCCAAGTAACGTCACTTATAAATTCGAGATATCAAGCTCGACAGCTCTACTGCTGTTAAATTTCACCACCACCCTGCTCCACAGGAGTCCTCCGCCGGCAACCCTTTTCTCCATCGGTGGCGGCGGTTCTGATTCGAATCTGTTTTCTTGCATGGCGTCGGACACAAAGTCACGTAAAGCTTTCATAACTTCGGCTATGGATGTCGCACGAAAGTTCGGGTTTGATGGGATGGACTTGGACTGGGAATATCCTAGCAACCCCAAAGAGATGAAAAATTTAGCCCTTTTGTTTAAGGAATGGCGACGAGCTATCAACGTTGAGGCGGCTAAAGAACCAGGCCGTGCTCCTTTACTTCTTACGGCGGCCGTGTATTTCTCGGTCGACTTTTTCTTAGATGCAGTCGACAGAAAATACCCAGTCCGGGCTATTAATCAAAATCTGGATTGGGTTAATGCAATGTGTTACGATTATCATGGTGGATGGAACACTTCGATTACAGGAGCCCCTGCAGCGCTTTATGACTCGAACAGTAATGTGAGTACCAGTTATGGTCTTAGATCATGGATCAAAGCTGGGGTTGATAGGACCAAACTGGTTATGGGATTGCCACTTTATGGGAGGACTTGGACATTAAAGGACCCGAGTTTTCATGAGATCGGATCGACTGCAGTTGCAGTAGGGCCAGGAGATGCAGGGGCGTTAACGTTTATGCAGGTAGAAGAGTTCAATAAGAAGAATGGTGCCATTATAGTGCATGACATGGATAGTGTATCGACATATTCTTATGCTGGTTCGACTTGGATTGGGTATGATGATGATATAGCAGCAATGTTGAAGATTGGGTTTGCACAAGCACTTGGGATTCGTGGATATTTCTTTTGGTCTCTTGGTTCTGATAGCCTGTGGAAAATATCTAGACAAGGTAGTAAAATGGCAATTTTTTTTCTTTTACTAATTGTATTATGATGTAGTTAATTAAAATTTTGACTTCTTGGGGTTTGATCGATGTTTTCGCAGCTTCAAGAGCGTGGGTTGTTGGTGAATGAAGATTGAAGCTTTCTTGGTATCTGTACAAGCACTACCAGAATGGAACTGTTGTGGAAAAACATGGTTTAAAGCTATATATAATATAATCCTTCATTGAGTACCAAATCATTTTCTTTGCTTTGCTTAAAATAGCTTCAACAATGGAAAAATAAATAAATAAATAAATATTAATGGATGTAGTATGTATAAACCATCTCAGGACAACAAAATTGCAGCCTTAATCAGAGAAAAATGTTCAGTTAAATCAGTTATGAAATGAGGCAGCTCCAAGGTTGATGCGGTTAAGTTTTCCACAAGGTCTTGTCCTGTTGACAGATGAATAAAATGAAGTTTCTCATCTTTCATTTACTACTTTCAAGTCCATAACAATACGCGTAGGGAATGGGAGCATTTACCTTATGAAATCAGAAAACTCGCAAATACATACGAAAAATGCCAACACTAGCTTTGCTTTTCTCTCACCCATTCGACAAAATTATCCAAGATCAAGGGCCAGGCTTGGTTTGCATCATAGTTTTGCAGATCTGGAAAACTAATCTGCTAGTAAGGATCGAAAGTCATTATTAATGCCTCAGATTGATGGAGGGAAGGGGAAAAGACAAATGTCTCTCCATCAAATATCATACATAGTTTAGTTCTATCAAATGCAATAAAAAAAGTATGCATGTCAACAATTACAAAATGAATTCAGGGCCAATTATTTATCTTTTTATATGCCATTTTTCCTTTGCCCATTCTTCCTTTTGGCAGGCAACAATATTCAAATGCAAGGGGAAAGAAAAATTATGCTATTGAGTTTTTTTTTGGGGGGGGGGGGGACTAGTACATTTTCAAAAGACTCACCTCTTTGCAAAAACGAAGAAAATTTATCCACTGGTCTGCATTTATAACTTTGTAATCATTCTGGACCTGCCAAAAAATCAAAGTCCAAGCATCATAACCATGCATGGAGCACATGTTGTGATAATAAAGAGAATCTAATCAGAGCATTTTGTTCGCTAAAGACTAAAGAGACTTGACTGCCTACCTTCAGATATTCAACTAGTGAAGCAACCTGACGACGAAATTGGACCCCTAGAACAAGATTCAACAATTCACAGATGCTTTCAATGTCCACACTCTTTTGCTTTTCCTCTGGAGTAGTGGATAAATGTTAAGACTTTTATTAAAAAGTAATCCTATAAAGTGAATCTGTGCATGGAGGGAAAAAGGGGCTGATTAATTAATTAACAGGAACCTGTCAGGCAATATCGGAAAGCATAGGTATAGAAATCCTCGTAATTCGATGGCTTTTCCACCTATTTTTCAGATACAAAATATCAAATCAGTACTCCAACCAAACTTCTTACTTCCGAGGGAAGATAGAGATATCCTACTTAGGAGATTTAACTCGTCTTGATCTATTTTATATTTTATAAGTCTGATTGTTTCCAGGACTTCTGAATATTTTGAGTTGTGTGCTATGTTTCCTACATCAATTTGTCCATCAGAAAATGAGTTTAAAATAGTTGCAATAACCATTGCAGCAGATACAAATACCTCTTTCTCCAGTTTAGGAAGTTCTTTTTTCAGTTGTGAATCAACCCCCAATGCTTTCAGGCCAGTTTGCCACTCATCCTGGTTCAGTGCAAAGGAAAGGAAAAAGTGGTCATTTATTTAATGGAAGTTAACGATCTCTATTATGGTATCCCATTAGAGTGTAACAAGTCATATGAGTAGTGTCTTTACTTACCTGTGTAAAATAGCCCTGCTTTCCAGCTTTTAATTTCCTGAGATATGCAGAATACATATCGTTAGAAGAACCTCTCACCAAACGGGGCCCAATCATTGTCCACCAAATACACACCAAGCTAGCATCAATATCCTCACATCAGTGTAATCCACGCCTAGATCTGCACATAGTGCTTCAATACCTTCTGGACTGCTCAAGCAAACCAAGGGTATTAAAAAAGGATACACAAGCAATCATCTAAATAAAATCTCTACTTGTGCTTCCAGTGGGGCATATGTTAAATTTTTCAGGCAAATTACATTTGTGACAGTTTATTGCCTCACATCAAAAGATCAAAGTTTCTTTAACAATCAGATCCTTCAAAAAAAAATGGCATAGCTCTTTCTTTCCAGTGAAACTTATCACTTTTTGACCCAATGAAATATCTCCACATAACATACAATAAAATGTGAGAGATTATGTTCAAACAACAATTTAAGAAAGTTCACAAGCTTTTCATTGACAATATGTTCAAACGACAATTTAAAAGAAACGATAATTAGATGTAACACCTCTAAAAAACATAAGTTGAGAAAGATGTTTGACCTTGAACAATGATTAACAGCATGACTTGGATAATATAATAAATTTCTTCGGCCTTTAATTATTGTGTATTCATCAATGATGACACCAAACACCCATTTAGCCAGAGCAAAAAGTTGATACCATCATATGAGTAGCTCTAGAAATATAAAGGATGTGGACAGAATGTACTTATTCAATCATGCCTAATGAACTATTTACATGCGTATTGAACAAGCGATCTGTTTTTCCCATCCCCTTCGTTTGAGCTTTATTTGAGACTGAAAAAGGAGTAGCATATCTAGTAAGAATACCAGGCACCTTACCAGAAGAACACGAAAGTTTACCTGATTATACATAGTAAAGCGGGCATGTTTAGGGGGAAATTCCAACAATCTTAAACCACCACCATTACCATTATTTATCTAATCAAAAAATTATAGTCAGATTACTACTCTACTGAGACCCTGTAAGGCTATCCACACCACCAATTAGGGGCAGAACAAAAAGACAAATATTACCAACTACAGGAAAAACGATGCTGTTGGTTTGTTATATCGAAAATATAACAGATTAAATGATTATAGTCAATTTAGAACTATCATAAATAAAAAGCAAATTCCTTTCTGATGTGGAAGAAAACGATCAATAAAACAGTAAAATTATGACTGAAACACGAGTAGGAAGGATGATAGAACTCAAGAAAACTTAGGATCATAAAAAAAATTCTAGTTTTACTATTAATTCAAAGAAAATAACAAGAATAACTATTTTGGGCTAAATATAACTAATAAACTTTAAAGTACTTAATAACTTAAGGTTTTGCTTAGTTGAATGACAGAATAGGAGGGAAGGAGGGATTATGTTTGGTAAAAAAGAAGAGTGAGAGAACATAAAATGTGAATGATGATCATTTTTCTCTTGTGTTAATCCCTCATTTCAATTTGGAGAGAGAAAAAAATGTGCGCTCATACAAAACTATACATTTTTCAAAGTTTGATTTCTTTATTCAAATATTTTCAACTCTAGCAATTAATAGAAAGAAAATATAATTATCTTTCAATTTTTTCATCCTTACAACTAAACAACACAATCGAATTAAAAAAATATATATTTTACATATTTGCACTTTGCTAACCATTTAATTTTCTACACTTTCAAATTTTTTCCACTCTATCAAACAAAATCTAATACTAAAAAATCCCTATTTTTAACGTAACAGACTCCCCTACTTGATATTTTCTCTTTAACTTGCTGAGGAAAAACCGAACCTATAATATCAATTATAACATGAATTCATTAAAAGGGAGTATTACAAATTTTCAGTTTAATTTATTCACTTTTCCCGCGGTTTCTTAAAAAAAACAATTAGAATAGAATAATCTTCATTCACACACCAACAAACCAAAAGCACAAAAAAAACGGCAATTACTGTAAAGAATTAATCGGGGATTGAACAATTCTCGCTTTTTTTTAAATCCATTTAACATTTTTCTCTTCCCGCGCTTTCTCGTATAGAAAACCTTAAAACATAGCAAAACCGATTCTCTTTTCTCTAGAAAGAAACGGAAACCAAAAAAGGGAGTCGTACCAGAACGACCGTCGGATGATGTGACGGATGAGGAATTGGGCGGGGCAGATTTTCGCTTAGATGCGCGAGGAGGCATTGGCGTTAAAAGAGATCGGATTGAATCCAACGATGGAGAAACTACGACCACTTGATTTGATGACCGATTGACTACGGCGGAAAAGGGAACCCAGAACCCTAGATCCAATAATATTTAAGGAGATGCAGAGCGACGCTGTACTAACAGAGGATTATATGTCGAGATTCGTGAGAGATACTTGGAGTAGCGTTTGAGCTCGAAGAAAGTTCAAAAACAAAAACCTAGTAATATTTAAGATCGAAACCTTTGGACGCGCCAAGCTACTGCACGTGGAGGGTAAGCTAAGATTTGAAAAAATGATAAACTGCATATTTAGTACCTAAACTAATAATTTTAATCTGTTTTAATACCTAAATTTTTAATTTTTTTCATAAGCATACATAAATATCTATTTATACAAATAATCAATTGATTATAAAAAAATTATTTAATAAAAATATATTCAAATTATAATTTTTTTACTTTAAATAAACATAAAAAATAAATGTATTCCTTAATTCCCTCAATTTTCTCTTAACTTAATTTCTTCATTAATTTTAGTTAAATTAAATTTGGATGGCATGAACCAAGCTATCTTAGTGGTCAAATATAATAATATTTTTTTAGATAAATTAAAATCAAATAATTTTAATTTTAGTTAAATTTCTTCATTAATTTTAGTTAAATTAATTTTATCGTGGACATGATCAATGCTAAGCTTTCGGGTTAGGCAGCTCAATCTCTTTCCATGGCTGGCCGTATAACTACTGCTAAGGTTGTTATTGGTGCGATTTCGGTATATTTTATGCAAACAATGGCCCTTCTAAAGCGTGTCTGTAACGACATTGAAAAATGCATCCGTCGTTTCTTATGGGGCTCCTCTAATGCCGAGATTAAGATCTCGCTCATTAATTGGGAGGCGTTATGCCAACCCCGAGATCGTGGAGGCCTAGGTGTTATTCGGACTCATGAGCATAATGTGGCTTTTTTAATGAAAATTGGCTACGCCCTTCTGACTAAAACCGAGGCATATTGGATTCAAATTTTATGTCTTAAATATAACATTTTGAATCCATGTGTTAGATCAATCTCTCTCACGATTTGCTCCACAATGTGGCATGGTATATCCAACATTTGGTCATCCCTCTTGCCGAGCCTCTTTTGGTCATTGAGGAATGGTTTGAAGACTAAATTCTGGGATGGCGTATGGCTCCCGTCTTTTGGCATTCTTCGCCCCCATGCTATTAATCCGTCGCACATTGATGATAATTTATATGTGTCAGAAACTGCTCTCCCTAATGGTCTATGAAATGAAGCACTCTTATCCTCGTTGGTTACTCCTAAAGCTCTTAGCCACATTCTCGGCACCAAGGCCCCTCATTCAGTCGATCCTGACGACACCATAGCTTGGCGGTGGACTCCCACCCATAACTTTGAACTCCAATATGCTTATGCTAGTATTTGTGCTGTGAATTGGAATGAATCCAACGCCACTTGGAAATTCATATGGTTCATTCCCGTGCCTCAACGCCTGCGTGGCTTACCCTTCACCGTAAGCTAATGATAAATTGTGAGTGTAACCGAAGAGGTCTCTCGGCTGATGCCTCCTGCCATTTCTGTGGTGCCGCCCGGAAACAATCATCCATGTTTTACGTGATTGCCCGCAGGCCCAGATTCTTTCGATGCAACTCTTGCCCAATATCTCTCATTCGACCTCTTCCAGGATGATCTTGAGGTTTGGATTCTCTCCAATTTGAGGAATAGCAATCGTAACTCAGGAAATGGACCTGCTTGGTTTTTGTTTTTCGCCTCTTTAAATTGGCAGCTCTAGAAACGACGAAATGATATGCTTTTTAAAGATGTCTCGACACCTCATTGCGCTTACAACTGGGCGTTGTATTAAAAGCAAGCACACTTCACTCCGACGTCTACCCTTCATCCAGCCCTGAGTGATATCGCTTGGACAAAACCTCTGTCGGGTTGGATGTGCCTCGACTCGGATGGCGGCGTTAATCCTCCAACCGACATTGGCACTGCTGGTGGCGTCCTTCATGACGACGATGGAACCTGGATTCATGGATATAGTCGGACTATCGGCCATGCGTCAGCTTTGCAGGCAGAACTCTGGAGTATTCATGAAGGCCTTCTCCTAGCTCGAAGCCTTGGTATAGAGCGTCTGGAAGTCCAAACAGACTGCAAGCAAGCAATCTCTCTACTCGACGACAAGACTGCAACCAACAACCCTATTTCCCTCGTTCGATCCATCACCGCCTTATGGAAACACGCTTGATGTACCGTTTCCGTTGGATTACCCGATCTGCAAACGACGTCGCTGACAAGCTCGTGAAAATGGCTCCACATACGGTGGCACGAACGGAGTATTATGGAACCCCCTCGAGTCTTGAAGATATTCTATCTAGTGACAGATGAGTATCCCCACCGCAACCTGCAGCTCTAGCCTAGTTTCTTTAGGCCCTTTCAATTAAAAAATATCAAATAAAGAATATCATGTTTTAGATTGAGGTCAAAATGATAAAAAAAAAAAAACCCAACTCATCCATGCGTTGTCATCCCTAATTTTAACATTAAGATAATTAAAAACAAAAGGTGATTAAATAAGATTTAAATTTTGGGAATATTATGGGTGGGGAAAAACCCGAAAAATGGGTGGTTGAGAATTATTTTGGGATTTAGGTTTGAGAATTATTTTGGGATTTAGGTTATTTGTTACTCTGCACGTGAAACTCATCACATGAAGTCGATGAGTTTCATAAAATATATTAAAAAATAAAACTCATCAAATGAAATGAATCATAATTGTATGAAACTCGTGTTTCACGTGAAATAAAACTCATCACATGAAGGCGATGAGTTTCACCCTCTACGTGACGAGTTTCACGTGTACCATAGCAAATGGATTAGATACCAAATAATTTTCAACCATCCCTACATTTTAGTAATTTTTTTCACCTGCATTATTTAGTTAAAGAACCCGATTAAATGAATATGTTTATTTTTTAAATTAATCTAAAATAATTATAAAATAATATTTATTTAAAGATAACTCTCAACTATTTAATTTAAAATACTCATTCCTCTAACATTCTTATACTTGAACCGGAGGGTTCAAAAAATATTAATAACGATTAAATGGATACGAGAGAAAATGATTATTAAGAGAAGTGATCCACTAGATTGTAAATCCCAGTATCATTTGGGCCAACAATCATAGGAAAAAAAACCGTCAAATTCATAGTCCACGAAAGGCCTAACAGTACAAACCCTAAAAGTTCCAGATTCAGCACAAATATATTAGGTTTTCACGTTTCTGTTTGCAAAGCTCTCACTCAGCAGCTTGAGGACCTTTGCGCCGCTTTCATCTCAACAGCGGAAGTGCCAAAAAATGGTGTTAACTCCACCTTCATTGCCTTAGATAATAGTTTGGCTATTCATTTTCAAGCTTGAATTGCTATGATCTGTGTTTTCATTTTTCCTTTTCTTCAAATTGTTGGGTATATATATCTCTGTGTAAAGAAAAGTTAAGAGTCTAAACTTTGAATGGTTTAATTTGACAGCCTTCGCACAAGACCTTCAGGATCAAGAAGAAGCTGGCCAAGAAGATGAGGCAGAACAGGCCCATTCCTTACTGGATCCGCATGCGCACCGACAACACCATTAGGTCTATATCTTCTTCATTTTTTTGAATCTTGCTTACAAGTTTATGTCTTTTCTTACTTTTAAGATTTTTCAAGAGTATTTATTGATTTTCCCCCTTTTTTTATTCTAGGTATAATGCTAAGCGTAGGCACTGGCGCCGTACCAAGCTAGGGTTCTAAGTCCGATGTGCTTGTTTGTTTCAAGCTTTTCTTTTACGTTTTCTAAGTTTATTTTCAGACTTCCGTGTTATTTGGGATTTAAAATTGTGAACCTTTAGGGACCTTTTTATTAAAGATTTTGATGAGATTGGTAGCAACTTTGTTTAGTTTGATTTTATATTGTCTCTCATCTTTATTTGAGTGCATGATATTGAACTTCTCATTGCTGGTTGCTTTAATTTACCTTTTTATATGTTAATCATTGATCATCGAGTGATTGTATTTAGTTTATTTAAAGCTAAACCACTGTGGTATTAGGAATTAATGATCTTGAAATTATGTAATATGGTTTTTCTTTAAGCCAGAAATTTGAGTGACGTGAGTCTTTTCTAGGGAGCATATCATATTCTAAAATCGATCATTATGATGGATAATCCTTAGTTTAGAATTGGAAGAGGATGCCTTTTTTTTAGCTTGTGTTACTGTATTTAAGGTTATTGTGATGAGTTGCGTTTTGAAAGGGAGAATGGTTTGTTGTCTCTTGGCAATGTTATCATTTTGGTAGTTTGAATTGGAGATTAAGTTTTGCAGGTAGTGACGTTTGGTAGTGACGTTATGCAATTAACTACCGTCGGCGTTACATTTAGGTAGTTTTTGTGGCATTACATTTGCTTCGGAAAAGCAGAGTTTGTAAACTTAGGCTTAAGGAATGAATTTGAACTGGAGAGTTTGTAAACTTAGGGGGTGTTTGGTTCAAGGAATGTGGGATTTTCCATGTTTGATTGGCCGGGAATCTTATTCCCGGTAATGTTTTATTACCAATAGTAGATTTTTTGGGTATATTACTGGGAATGTCATTACCTCCCTTCCCTTAGGTATTGAAATATTACCGGCGTTTTGGACTAAAATATTATTAAAATTTTATTTTTTTTCAAAAATATCCTTCTTCTATCATTAAATAATAAAAATTCTACGAAAGTTAAATTATAAATTTATCTTTAAATTATTTTAGATTTACAAAAAAAAATTTATAATTAAAATTTTATATGAAGTTCAGGGATTAATTTTTTTTTTACCCTTTTACTAAACCTTTTTTATATTTTTAATTTTGTAAAAAAATTTATATAAATATTATGAATTTAATTTTTTAAAGAAAATATATAAATATTTTACAATTTGTAATATTATACAAATATATAATAAGGATAATTTGGTCAAATATACATTCCAATAATCTTTTATTCCTTTAACCAAACACGATAATTTTACATTCCTGTTAGACCAACCAAATACAAAATACAATATTTCCAGTAATCCTATTCCCTGATAATCTTTTATTCCCACTGATAATCTTACATTTCGTGAACCAAACGCACCCTCAGATTTACGTAGGTTATGATTGATGGATGGCTTGTGTTCAGAATGATGTCAATACTTTAATTTTTGGGTTAAATTGATCCATATCTAAACCCTAACCCAGTGTGAACTAGAGACGGAATATGCAAACATTAAACTGCCTTCAGTTGTGATAGAAATATTACGTTTGAGTTTTAGTATGTACTGTTTAATGGCCGGTTCTGTAGTACGAAAGGCTGCCGGATGTTGCAATAAAAACTCTCCGCTAGAAACAGGGCAACGTATGGCTAAATAAACATTGTTGATTGAAGCCAATTGCTCTTTCAATAAATCTAATAAAATTAAGCTGAGATACCAATTAAGAGGATAAATGATTTAAGATGATAAAATTAAGCCGATTTTAAGATGACTTCAATTGAAAGAGACCCAAGTTCATTTCTCCATTGAAAACGATTTATGTTAAAATTACTAAATTTTTATTATATTTGAGATACCATTTAAGAGGTGAAATGTTTTCATGGTAAAATCATATTTATTCGAGTTCAAAGTCCACATTTAATTCTCTATCTCGACTAAATTCAAATGTTGGCCTCCATGTAAAAGGATCTCCATTATCTCCAGGTTAACTAAGTCAAATTGATCTTATTGTAGGTACCCTTCATGTTTTAGGTACCACAATGCACCTTCATGCTCAGCGGCTGCCTTCTTTGTGGTCCGAGGACTGCTGAAGCACTCCAAGATCATATCCAAGGCTTCTTCGATTTCTATAATTACTCTGTAAGTGAACCCGCGAAAGAATATGAATATAGGGGTTGAGTACAGATTCAAGGAAGAGAGCAGTAATTCGAAGTTCCAGGCTTTCGTTCTATCTTAAATGAGACTTTTGAGCCACAACAATAATTTCTTATAGATGTGCGGCGTACTTACGATCTCAAATGGCTCGGTCCTTCCTCTTTGCAGCATTCAAACAAAGGGGGTTTCCAACAATTGATGGCACAGATTTCGTGTAACTGTGATCTCGCAGTATGAGTATGTGATTCACCTGAGAAGTTAAGAGATGAATAAGATAATTGTTCCACACTGATTACTGATAAAAAGTGTAACAATCATTGACCTTTGGATGGCGAGTCAATCCCACAACTACTTGATGCTGAATTTCCTGCTTTTGCTTCGAAAGAATGCAGAGGTCTGCTACTAGGCGAGGTGCAAGGTGAAACAAGAGAGGAAGTTGCCTTATTAGTGGAAAGGGTTTCTGGGTTGCAATAATCGTCAAGAGATTCTTGCAATTTCATGTTTACAAATGCAGCGATGTCGGAACAGCGACATAATCGGTGTTTCATCAAATCCAATCAGCTTGGCTTCAGCTTTGATGCTTCCCTTTAAAGCTTCCTCTAAGGAATTTCATTTGGGTGCATATCCTAGAGCCTGTATGTTCAAAAACAACAATCCCCCGGGTTGAAGTCGCATATTCACAATCATTTTGTCGATGAGCAATAAAGGAACCGAAGACAGGTAAATATCCAAAAATAATATTCTAAAGGTATCAAGAAGAGGAAATAGGAAAGTATCAGGGCATGATTGCAGCGGAAGTTGCTATTGGCAAGACTATCAATGATGATGTCATTCCTGTTGTGGAGAAATTTCAAAAGGTAAGCTTGACAGGTCTTTATTTACCCTCAAGTAAATCTGGTGTATCACACTGTTCTTGTGTTTCTGTTTTATTTGGTGTATCTGTTAGTAAACCTGTTCAATAATGTGTGATACAGAAGAAAGAAAGGACACTGAACCGGAAGAAAAGGCAAGAGATGCTCCTGAGTAGCTTTAGAAGTTCTTGTGCTGGTATGACTCGCACATGTCGCAATCATAGGCCTATCAGTTACACTTTTGGTATGTCGGAAACTTCTTTCCTGCAATTGTTCCAATCCAATGATCTGTCATATATTATTGATGAATTTCAACATTTATCCATAAACATGTGTAAATTGCTATGTATATACATATCTTTAGCTTAACTGAATTATGAATTGCACACTAGAACGGTCAAGTTAATAACTTCACTTATATGTTGGGTGCTTGGGAATGATGAAACTTACATGAGTTTATCTTTCTTTTTGGCCATCTTCTTAAATGGGTTTAGCTATAGTTGAGTATAATTTACGTTCTACTTTTTAAAAGGAAAAATAAAGGTTCTTTCCTTCATTTGATAGGGTGGGAAAAGGAGGGAAGGAAACCGAGTGGACTTGCACCTTTCCTTCCCTCCAAATCCAATACTTCCGATTGTGGGATGAAAACACTCTTTCCAGCTTAATTTAACAATTTTGTTTACAGCTTCTTACTTTTCTTTTCCTTCTATTTTCCACCACACATCCAACAGAACGAAGGAAATATATCTTTCCATCCTCTCCTTTTTCCCACCTTTTTCATTCCCCCTCCATTTTCCTTCTGATCAAACATAGGGTAAAGCTTAAGCTGGTCAGTCAGGTGTAGCTGAATCTTACTATTGTACTGATCTTATTGTGCTTTAGTCTAGGTAAACTGTAGCATTTGTTTTAATCAAAAGCACAAAGATCGACTTATGATGGGTTTATAATCATGCAGATGAATATGATCGTGCTATCGACGAGGCTATAGAAATAACAAAGTAAGACTTGTTTAATCTAATTACATTGGTTGTGTATCTTCATCTTCTTAGTTATCTTCACTGATTTAGTCATATATTCCTCTATTACATGTAAAAAATGCATAGGTCTGGGTCTCTAAGTAATAGTAGGATCCCTAAACAAAACTGAACTATTTATTTATTTCGTTATGAGAATTGTTAAACTGATGGTTACGGAACACGTCTGCTGCCCCTTTCTGGCTTTTGTGATAGATACTTCATATATACTTGTTTTTGTATTGTTGTGTCCTGGTTCAATGAAATTGCTATAAAACCCCAATGAATATTATTGTACTAGAAAACCTTTTGCTTTAAAATTTTCTCTGAGGTAAGAGGTTAACACCAAAGAGTGATTTCTGCTTGAACTGAAATGGCCTTTAGGAATATCCTTCAGAAGGGAGGTTACAGTTGCAGTAAACAACCGATTTGGTCTAATTCTTTTTCTTGGATGGCTTAACCATTTATTGGTTATGACTTCAATCTCGATACAGGAGAAGGAAAACAATTGAGGAGCAAAGCCAGGGGCAGAAGCTTCCAAGACAAACTTTTGGCTCCAATGGAGGTTCATATGTGGAGGGCACTGTCTCAAAAGACAGTTCAGATGGGAAAGCAAACTCCATGGGTAGTGAGACTGAAGATGACAAGCTACAAAAAGCTGGTGATAATGGTAATGAGAAAGAGGATAATGATGATGATTATAGTAGCGAAACAGACGGTGATGTCAACAATAGTAGCAACTTGGGAAGCTCTGCGGATGAAAATGAAAATTTGAACAACCATAAAAAACACGTCGATGGGATCACGGTGGAGTAAGAGATTGGCTGGGGTTGATATCCATCCTGCTGTTAGAAGTGGAAATTTTGGCACAAAAAATAGGTTGAGGCAAAGGCCAGTTGTCAACTCCGCTCTTGAAACTATTGTGCCTGATTCAGAGGATGATACCTCGTCAGAAATACAATGTAAGCAATGGGATATCTGGTTCTAAAAGCTTGCCTAGAGATGCTGTTCTAGGGTTAGAAACTGACAGCTTAAGTTTGAGAATGAACCAAGTCAGCGGACATGCAGATTGCTGAAAGCTTTTGTTCTTCAAACTGTTTCTGCAGGAACCTGGAAAATTTTGTAAAGTGGCAAGCCTTGTCCGTATTGGTTTTTGGATGTAACTTATGAGAAGCATGTGGTTCTTTTATAACCAAATTCTAACATCACCACCTTGGACCATAGTTCGATCGAGAAAAACTTGTACTCAGTTTTCTTCCTATGTACCATTAGCCGTTGGTTTTCTCTATACTTCTCTCATGCTTGTTGATTACCATCCCTAATTCCGACTAAATATTCTTATGGTAACTGTTTACTTGTTTTCACTGTTTTTGGATGCTTAATTTCTGAAACTTTTACAGAAGTCAGGATGGCCGAGTGGTCTAAGGCGCCAGACTCAAGTTCTGGTCTTCGGAAGAGGGCGTGGGTTCAAATCCCACTTCTGACAATTATTTTTGCAAAATCCGATTGTAGTCTTGTCCAAAAAGCAATTATTTTTGTTATATAATAATTTATTTAACGATAAGCGCAAGTCAAAACGGCCGAGTGGTCTAAGGCGCCAGACTCAAGTTCTTTCTTTGTTTAATCCAAAACGCAATTCTTTTTGTTAAGTGTTATTTTATACTTTGGTCCAATGTCATATTTACAGGTAGTTTTACTGTATAGAAACCTAAAATAATGTTAAAAAATGTACTACAAAAAATATTAAAAAATATTAATATTTTTGTATAGCGTTATCTAAAATATTATTTTTTCTATCGAAAATATTAATTTTACTACTTAAAATAAATATTTCTAATATTAACATTTTTGATAAAAAATAACATTTTAAGTAGAATAAAATATTAATATTTTCACTAAAAAATATTTTAAATAATACCTTACATAAAATATTAATATTTATAATATCGTTTTTTTTAATCTTATATTAAATTACATTTTCTTAAAAATCATTTCACATCAGAACAAAGGTGCACACTCCGAACTGACCCAGATGTCACCATTTCACATCAAAAGAAAAGCTATCAATCGCTGCCAATGGCTAACCAAATTGTCATGTGGCCTATCTATCTCCTCTGTTCACATATTCAAAGTTCTGTTGATTATTTTGTACACGTGTTTCAGCTTATCATTAAACACTCCGAACCTGATCATTTTTATTAACCATGTCTATCAGGGAAGAATCTGAGTAGGGATGGCAAACAGACGGACCAGTAGTAATACTTTCTCTCATCATCATATTCACATAATATTTTTATAATTATCATCTATAACTTATGATAGATAAAAATTTTAAATTCACACCCGTCCATATAAGTACATTATTAAATTCATCCCGTACTTATTACCTAACTGAATGTTCATCACCCATCTTGTAACCGTCTGTAAGTAATTTTACAACTTACGTAAGCAACAAAATATAAAATAAACACATCTATTAATAAGCATAATAAAATAAATCAATAATTAATTAAGTTTATATCCTAACATTTGATTAAATTATAAGTCATGTTGTATAAAATCTTAAGATTTATAGAATAATCACTAAAAATTTACATAAATTCATATTGTTCAAAATTTATGTCAGGTAATTAGAGGCGACAGATGTAGAGCCAATGAGTGCAAGACGATCGGATGCAGAGCGGGTAAGATCTTAAACTCATCACCTAATGACTATCTACGACAGATATGACTTTTTACATCCACACCTGCCTACTACCAGCTAAACTTATATCTATATTCGCCCCAATTAGAGTGAGAACGATGCGAAATCCATAAAACCTGAGGCTTTATAGTTCTCGAGTATTGGAGGTTTATTTTTATTAACAAGAATAGATCCAAGAATGTAATAACTTGAGAGTAGATGAGTGCCTACTGATTTTGCTCTTTGTGAAGCGATGCAAACACGTCTGTTAAGAATCCTTCAATTGTGAATATAAATCTCAAGCGTAGAATCCTAAATGAAGCAGAGAGCTAGGGACCTGGTTGAAAGTTTGCCATTAAAGAGACACGACACCAACCTCGGTGCTTTATGCCAACCCGGAAATGTCAAGCAAGGAGTTCACAGAAGATGCAACTTCTATAACATTATTAATATACACATACAAAGGGAATCTCAAAATTTCAGGCCTTCGCCATTTGTCTCTCCCATAAACATATATCCAAGCACTACGAAACCATTAATTTAATCTTTCCACTTAACTTGGGTACCTAAAAAAGGGATGATTCAGAGCCTGGCGTGCAGTGAGACGTTCGGATGGATCATATTTCAATAAACCTTCCAACAGGTCGGCCAGTGAATATCTTGAGCTCTCCACATGATGTGATACCATATTCTGAAATAGGTTTTTAATGAGGCCTGAAATTCTTATAAAAAAAAATACCATATTCTGAAATGCTTCACGAGTTTTGATCAGGGAACAAAAACAAGCACGTCGCTTGTCAAACCAGATACATTACACGAAAAGAAATCATACCTTCAGACGATCAAGCTCCTTAACAGCTCTAATACTCTCCCTAGATGCTGCTCCTTCAGGCCAATTTAGTCTAGAGCCTCTCCTGAAATATTTTTCAGCACCCCGGCTGTGGTAAAACCAAACTAAGGTGACATGTATTACAATCAGTTAATTAAGATATTAAAAGATAACTATGAAACTCACTTAGCCCTTCGAGTAATATGCTCAGGAAGAGGTCCTAAAACCCCCTCCATCATCGCCAAATGCTCCAAGTTTTCATGGGTTTGAAATAATGCCTCACCCTGCACATAATTCAGGGTAAGATCCATGTTCCACACATGAAAGAAGCTAAATGTGTCTCAAGAAAAACAGGACCAACCGTGCATAATTCGATAAGTATACAGCCAACACTCCACAGATCACACGGATAGCTCCAACCTAGACCTGCACAAACGCATTTATTTATGTGTCAAAAACAAGTTGTGCCACTTAAAACTTGAATGTGTCAAAAGTAATTCAAAACATAAGCATAACAAATTTGGTAAAAAGGAACCAACAGTATAAAAAATAAACTAATAATCCAGACGAGCAATTGAATCAATAGAACCTACTCAAAGATATGTCACTAAAAAGAAGGGGCTATATAAATCCCCGGTAAGTATTTTTCGGGTAGTCCTTCTAGATCATTGCAACCTTAAATTCTATAATGCGATTCTTGAACAGTCATACTTAACAAAAATGGAACCTGGAAGTATGCAATTGGAATGTATACTTTTTTACCTATCCTGTAAAACAGGAATAGAGTCGACGACTACAGATGACTTTCTACACTTGGAATGAACACAACACGAAGAAATCAAAGGGAAAACCACATCTTATTTTCCAACATAATAATTGGTTACCTAGAACAATCTCAGGGGCTCTGTAATGCCTCGTGGAAACAATGGAGCTATGATTCTGATTATCAAATGCAGTACTACCAAAATCAATCAGCTTAATGGCACTTGACTTTGGTAAGCACCTGAAATTTGTTTCATCTGAAGAACTCCTCTGTACCATTCCAAGCATTTTCATTGTCATAACTGAGTTTGTACCCCAAATCTAAAACGGTATAAATCATCGATTATAGAAGGCCAAATACCTTACGGCTAGGAAGCTTTACATATTCAGAAGATAGAAGAAGAATATTTTCTGGCTTCAGGTCACTGTGGATTAAGCGTAAATCATGCATATCTGTCAGATATATTAAAAGCATAGAAAGATGTTAAAAACATCGGCATAATAAGCAACCCAACACTAAGCTTGAACAAGCAAAATAGGCTGAGAAACAGAACGGGGTGGGTGGTTAGAAGATGAGATATGATAAAATAGGAGGCAAGAACAATCCACACATGCTACAGATTCCAAAAGCTGACGTCCAAATTCCCGAACAAGATACACAGGAAATGGGCAGTATTTATTTCTCTTTAGAAAATCAAATAAACTTGGTCCAAGCCTCTCAAATACCTGATAACACCATTAAAATGCATCCACAAGAAGGTTTTTGTTTAGTCCCAATTTACATGAATGAAGTCCACAAAGAAAAAACAAAATACAGGTATTACAACATATTCAATAATCTCATCCAAAGCTTTTAATTTCAATTAATTCGCCTAAAAAGGGTCACGGAAAACTGAGGAGAGAAGCACCGTTTATTCTAAAAGAACAAGAAACTTCAACACTTCAGCAACTTCATTCATAGCAAAAATTAAAGCTAATCTCTTGCTTAAAACAAAGTTAGCAATACCAAAAATTCCACATACACAACTGAAAAGGAACACTCACTGCTTAGAAGAAGGTTCATTGAATACTTACAATACAAATGTGATTACGGTAATCAAACCAGTTCCGAATCTGCACAAAGCTGCAAGAAGCAACCAAAAGAGACTGTTAAGTGCACAACTGAGACGATAAGCAATATCCATAAACTGAAAATAGGAAGACACGTACTGTGAGGTGCCTTTATCATTCTTAGCTAGATGTTCAAGAACATCAACTTCAATCATTGCTGCATCACGATATTTTCGTATGCTTCTAACTACCTTAATTGCGACATATTCTCGATTTTGACGGTCCCAACATTCCAAAACTCGGCCAAATGTGCCTGCAACACTAGCAATTTTGGCTGAAATGTGCTACAACCAGAATCGCAAAAAGTAAAAGATCTCAAAGCAGAGCACTCAGTTGAAAGTAGATCAATGAAAATACAAAATTATAAGAAATTAAATATGTTATGAGATAGAAAAAAGATTAAAGAGATGTCAAAACAGTGAAGCTTTGAAAGTAGGTGAGAGCCCTCAGCCCTAATCCGAAACTTGTACTGATCTGAAACCATGGCAGTGTGAGCAATAAAACGGTATAGCAAGCTTCGTTGCGAACATTCAACACAAACAGTAAAATACACATTTTTAAACATTTTGAACGTGAATAATAAAACTCATTAATTTTATATGTCAATTATTAAATGTATATAAAAATATTAAAACTCTTAGGATTGATTATTTTCAGTCCACAAGCACAAACATTTGTACCCGATTTAGGTGGCCTTCCAAGTCTCCAGACACATTCCAAGGTTTTTTTTTTTGCTCTTTCACTTTTTCGTATTTCGTTTTGATTAATTCGAATTTATTCGTGTTGCATAATTAATTTTGATACGTGAGTTTTTTAATGAAAATTTTATGCATATACAAACACTCGAATCCGAAACCTTATTTAATCGATATCAAGTTGCTAACCACTTGTACCAACCCGTTAATTGTTGATTTTCATGTGATATTGATACCCAACAATTAATTGATAAATATATCCATTTAGAATGCAAACCAAAAACAAAAGTTCCCTAGCTTTTTTCCTTGAAAATCTTTGATGGTTTAAGGGAGATTTCAATTTCCAGAACTGACTTTTATTATAAAAAAGAATGATTAATCCCTGCTTGGAGAATCTTTGGATTTAAATATAAACCAAGTATGATGAAAAGTTAAGGCACCAGAGTCATGTGACATGGAAGGAATCCTTCTAAAAATAGTTAACTACAAGTTGGGTGTGCAAATCCCAGTATCTGATTACCAGGTAATCGTAACATTCGGATCGGTGATTTATCGACTTGTATCTTGAACCGGATGTTACGGGTACACGGATTTCACGGATACCCGTATTTTGGGTACCTGATATCCATTTTTTTTATTTTTAAATTATTAATTTAAAAAAAATATATATACACAAATTTAAACGTTTGAAATTTTGAATTACACACTCCAATATTCAAACATAAAATTTAAAAGTTTGAAATACAAAATATAATAATTTATAATATAAATAATCCATTATATTTATATATTGGGTACTCAGATAACCGGATACCTAGAAAACTTCAATTTTGTGACTTAGACCCGACCCGAAAAATGTCGGGTCAAGTACCCTACCTGATTGGGTAATTTTATAAAAAAAATTACCCAATTTTTTTATATTTAAATCGAGTTAACCGAATCGAATAATTTTACACACCCCTAATTACCATGAATGTGTGATCATCTTGCCTTTTCCTTGATTAGTTTTCTTGATTTGCTGTCAGAAACAGAAAAAAAAATAATTGCCCATCTTTTCTTGATGGACTTTACTGCACAATTTAATGGCTGAAAATGAGCTACAAAGGGGTCCACTACCAAAGACGGCTTGGCCCTGGCACTGTCAAATGCCTAAAATCAGATATATTTTGAGTACGTACGACTATACCCATAAAAGTACAAAGAAAACAAGGATAAATTACGTGTTCAGGTTTTAAGTATTGTTTAACACTTAAACTTTTTAATTTTTTAAAATCATTCTTAAAGTTTAGTTTTTATTTCATTTTAATATTTCATTCAAAATTTAATGTTAAATTTTAGATTTTTTTTTGAAAGTTTAGGTACTAAAATGGATCAAAACAAATAGTTTAGGTGCTAAACGCGTTAAATTTTTAACTGTAGATACTAAAATGAAAAAAAAAACTAAATGTTAGATATGATTTTAAAAAAATTAAAAATTTATGTACTAAAACAGATTAAGTACTAAATGCGTTGTTTACCCAGAAAACAAACACAAAATACTGTAAGATTCTCTCTGCTTTGCATTGTGGTGCCTTCCCCAGTTCCCCTAGCCCTAGTAAAGAAGGGAGAGGTGAGGAAGCCTCTCAAAAAGCATCTTCTTCTACTTGTGAGTAGAGCAAAGGCCAAAGAGTAAAAGTTGAAATATTCCCTCTTGATTTCATATATAATCAGAATACATATACCCGTCAAAACATTAAAATATTATGTCCCTTGAAAGATTTATTGTGTTCATTTTGCATTGAGAACATAAAGGGTAAACATGTGTTTAGTACATAAACTATCAGTTTTGATTCATTTTAATATTTAAACTATTAAATTTTTTAAAAATATATCTAAAGTTCAGTTTTTATTTCATTTTAATACCCCATTCAAAATTTAACGTTAAATTGTTTGGGGGATGAAAATTTAAGTACAAAAACAGACAAAAACTTCTAGTTTATGTACTAAACATGTTCAATTTTTAATGATGGGTACTAATAAAATGAAACAAAAAATTAAACATTAGGTATGGTTTTGAAAAAGTTGAAAGTTTAGGTACTAAAATGGGTCAAAACTTATTGTTTAGGTATTAAATGAGTAGTTTACTCAAATATAAATTAGGGGTACAATACCAAATACCAAGAACTGGATGACCAAACTGGAAGAACAAAGGTCTGGAAACACTCAAACATGGTTTAAAACATTGATTTATTAATTTGCCAAAGTTTCACATTGAAGATCATTGCTAGAAAAACAACATTTTAAACCAAGAAAATGATTGCAACAACAAGAGAAAACCTATATACAAAACCAGGAGCTTTAATATAACTCAACTCTTATAAACTTTCAAACCAAAGGGAAAAAAAAAAGACAATTAAACACCTATTATTTTTCACTCACATGAATGCAACGCATTCCTCCTGGAGAACCTAGACGGCTCAGCAAACCGAGCCGAGAAGGACCGAGACAGATTATCCGGTTCGGCCCACCCGGTTCCTTGATCGAAATTCTGTGAATACTCATCCGGATCATAAGAAGCCTGGAATCCACCCGGAGACGTGAAGATTTTTTTCCTTGTGAACTTCTTCCAAAACGTCCTCCACTTCGGTTTCGACCGATCGTCTTGGCCGCGCTGCGTGTAGCTCCGGCCTAATTTGATCGTCTCGGTTCTGATGGAGCTTTGCCTGTTCCACACTTTGATGTCCATGGCCAAGCTAGAAAAATGAAGGAAACGAGTGCAAAATGGGACGATGGGGTTTATATAAAACGCTTGTAACGGACTTTATAATATAAATAATAATCATGCATGATCCAAGTACAGATACGTTTTTTTGATGAGGTTGTGTTTTTTGAGAAGGTTTTAAACTCAACTAATTTGGCCTCAAAAACGGCTTGGCTGTCAATATATATTTTGCATTGAAAGACTGCTTAAAATGATACTTTAACCAATATTTTTTTTTTGAATAATATGGGAAAATATAATGTAATATCTGTTAAAATATAACTATCAGTCATTTGACATTGAACTCTCACACCCTCGACATTCCCGGTGTTTAAACCCGAACCTCAAAAAATAACAACAATTATTTTACAACTAAGATCCCTCGGTTCGTGCAACTTTAACCAATTAAGAATAATACAATGGGGGAAATTAACAGTTTTGGGTTCAGAGATAATGATGAAATTAATTGAAATAATGTTAGGCTTAAGGCTAAAAAGGTAATCCCACGTTTTCCAGCTTTACGAGTCAAAAGAGTAACAGCCGAAAGAGTCTTGCTTTGCTAGCGGCGTGCCATTTTCGCACTTTGGTACTAGATTATTTTTTGGTAAAGTACAATAGAGGTCACTTACCTATATTCAAATGATTATTTTGGCTGCTGAAGTTTTAAAAATTATAAAATAATCATTTAATTTTACTATCAATTATAAAATATTTACTACAATATTAAAATAAGGGGTAAAGGACACATTTAGTACCTAAACTATACCTAATGTTTAGTTGTTATTTCAGTTTAGTACATTGCAATTAAAAACTTAACGTGTCTAGTTCCTAAACTATCAGTTTTGGTCTGATTTAGTACTTAAACTTTCAAAAAAAAAATCAAAACTTAACGTTAAATTTTGAACGGGGTAAGATAAAACAAAAACTAAACTTTAGGTGTGAGTTTGACTAAATTGAAAGTTTAGGTACTGAAACGGACAAAAATGATAGTTTAGGTACTAAACGCATCATTTACCCTAAAATAATTTTAATAAATTTAGTGATTATTTATAATAGTTTGATAAATTTAATGATTGTTTTACAGCTTTTATAAGTTTAATGACCAAAACGATCGTTTGTACATACTTCAGTGACCTTTTGTATTTTATATATATGAATACTGAGAGAGATGAAGGCGATGGGATTTTTCCAATGATAAGATTTAGAATTAGAATGGTAAGCAATGGCAGAAATGTCTAGGCGTTTGATTTTGTCAATGTGCTATAATTATAAAAATATGTATTTGTAGTCTCCAAATTTGAAAAAGTTTGGTTACAAAGTATAATTACATCAGATTTTAGCCATTAAGTCACTATCATAGTTGATTAAACTTGTGTTAGGTTGAACACAAGGCTTAATCTATTATAATTATCAACATCTTAACACTTGGCATTCAAATTCTGCGTACCGTGTATATATAATACTTTGAAGGTTCCATTTGGATCACACTTCACTTCTTGTATGATGGGATCTCAATTCTTACAAGTCACACTTACGAAAAAATGAAGGTAAAGTACACAAATGGTCCCCCAAACTATAGGATATTATTTTATTGAGTCATTCGATTATTAAAAGTTACAAAATGATCCCTGATTATTGGATGTTGCCTTATTGGGTCCATCAACTATTAAAAGTTACAAAATGGCCACCTGATTATTCATTATATTCTAAACTCATCATTTTTCGCTAAAAAAATTAACGCATATCTGCGTTGTACGTTAATTTGTTGCCTGAGATATGCTAGTCCTTTAAGATTCTGGGTTCATATTTTATTATATCTCATGCATCATATTGACATCTAACTCACATTGTCGTCAATATTTTAATAGAAGGGGACGAATTTGGAACGTAATGAATAGTCGAGTGATCATTTTGTAATTTTTAATAGTCGGGGGACTAAAAAAGTAATACCCTATAGTCAAGGGACCATGTTGTAACATTCGGTAGTCAAAGGACCCAACAGAATAATATCCTATAATTGGGGGACTATTTATATACTTTACCCAAAAATAAATTTGATATCTGTAAAATTTTCAAACTATAACTACAACATATTAGAATACATTTAGCACCAATAACCAGTTGGTCTAGTAGAATGAGGCATTAGGTCTCTTAAGCAAGGTTAGGGGTTTGAATCATGACGTTTGCAAATGAAGTAAACTGGGTTGGGAGGGTCGCTCTCACCTCTGCAGTTCCCGATCTGGATTTGTCGGTTAATAGATCGGATATCAGTGATTAATTCAAAAAAAATACATTTAGCATGACCCTTAACTTCAGTCCAGTAAAACCCAAATTGGATGAACTACCCCATTTAACACTGAATTCTTTTATTTTTGTTAAATTGTTTTGTTAAATTGATGACAAACGAATAACGTGTGATTTTATGTTGATGTATATTAATATAGAAATAAAAAACAACTTACCATTTTACGGGATATTTTTTTAATTTTTGCCCCCACATTATTTTTCATTAAATTTAGCGTAAATTACTTAAATGATCTATCATATTTTTAATTTTAAGAATATGATAATATAATTATTTAACTGATTTCAATCAAGCTATCTGATGTGTTAATAAAAGATTATGACATCACGATTTGATTAAATATGATTGATCTAAGTTCCTAGGTTGGAAATAGAGTGCAACCGTTAGACCAAATGCTTCATTGATTAATCAATTACAACAATTTTTATTTATCTTATAATATTGTTAATGATATAATAGCAGGAAAAAAATAACCATTTAAATGAGGATTCAACAATTTCAATTATAAAATATAAAAGAATTTAAATCAGTTAAGCAAATATAATATTATTTTAGCACGAATTAAGTGTCTTTATTAGTTAAAGAGATGATTTTTATCCCTAGAGGTCTCAGATTCAAGCACCAACAATTGTAGGGTATTTAAGCGCTTATTATCAAATTTAAATTTAAATTTGATGAAACTGGGTTACACGTCACGATCATGTGTTGTTACACATATACCAAATTATGTCATGTGCCTATCTTTTCAGGTGCCACATCATATCCCTATCCTTATATGGTAATGGAATTACTAAAATTAGCACCGATTCTTTTGCACACAGATAATAACACATTGCTGCACTGCATTGCCAAAAACTGCACTTCACCAAGTTACATAAGCTGATAATTAGCAAAACAGGGCTGAGTCTATCATGAGGGAGAATTATTTGGTTTTTGTCATTGGATGACAGTCCTTAATTTCTCACAAGAATCGGAGCAGGCACGGGAATAGTCCGACATGGCCTGGAATAGATCTGGCAGTCGGATTTTAAGACTTCCCAAAGATTTCTCTCACATGAATGCAGTGTTTTTCATGAGCTTCAACTTCCTCTTCCAACCTCTTCTTCAAGCTCTCAACTGCAAATTGCTTCTCAGACATGGCCTCGTCCTTTGCATTTCATCTTCACCTCTTTCTGCATCTGTTCCATCCGACACGGATCGCCTTTGATTATGCTTATGATACCATTCCTCATATGCCTGGTTCTTTCGCAAAAATTCCTTTCGGGTGTCCTCGCACCTCTCTTTTAGCTTCATCTCTTCTTCTTGATGAATGATTATGGTTTTTATCACAGCAGCAAATGAAGAAGTAGCAGATTTAGCTACCTCGTCGGGAAGCTTTTCCAGACCATCATACCACGTCTGAAGGAGTGTTTTGATAGTTGGATTCTGCGCTCACGGAGGAGACGAGACTTTCTCTTTCGAGCTGCTCTCAATAGGGATGAGATTTAACTTTAACTAGTTGTAGAGAGCTTGAATGTATTGCTTTTGATTAGTGACAAGCTTATCGAATTGCGAATGCCATTCTTGAACAACATCATGAAGCTGGATAGTGCGCTCGTGGTGGTGCTTTGTCGTTTCTTTGGAGGCGAAGGCAATGTCGAGAGATTTGAGCTTTTCGACAATCTTGAGCTGGCTATCATGATGTATTCACATTCTTGCCCACGTGTTAGCCATCCTGCAAATTAGAAGTCAAGGCTGAATGGTGATAAATTGGTTTCTTAGTTCAACATGCACCAGCAACACAATCAATTTGGTAAAGGCTAATAAAGACGGATACCAGATACAAAATAAAGCATAATCTCATTCGGCTTTCTCGATATGTTCATACTAAAACTTACCAGTCGACGAGGATAAAAAGTTTATGATACAACTGCTCATCACGAATTCGGTTAACCACTGTTGAATCCATGGACTGCATGTCAACTATGTATCTCGTGTGTAAATGACTTACAGCCGCTTTTGTTCTTTCCAACGATTCAGCACTAGCTCCATGTTTCTTCTGCTTGTTTAACGAAGCAAGCTTCCTTTTGTACTCGAGCTTCACCAGCTCCCCTTGCTATACAAACAAGGACCAAATTTTCATAAGAACATCAAAGCTTAACAATATTATGATTAAAACAATTAGCAGAAAGGTGTTTTGCAGTGGATTATAAAAGGGAACTAGAGAATCGTGCTAGTCAAGGAAGCAATAAAGACGGTGACGGCAAGTAGCTTGCCGTATAAGTCTAACGGAGTAAACAATAAGCCAGTATAAAAATATGCACCTTCACTTCCTCATAAAGTTTCTTCTCCCATGCTAGCAACTTCTCCAGAATATTGGCATGAGTCTCACACTCTTCAGAATCAAATTCACCCTTTCTGTTTTCACCATTCGTCGTTCCTCTTACCGACCTATTCCATGTAATGACACGCAGTACTCTTTCGGAATGATCGGTATGTCCTACAATCAGCAGGATCACGAAAATTATCAATCTATGTCCACAATATGAACACACATTCTCAAATCTCAATCCAACATAGAACTGTTCGTTAACTTTGTGCGGTTTTCGACCAAGAACATGATGACCATTTACCCTTTCGAATTTTAAGCAATTAGAAGAAAGTAGAAAGATCTATGGTCAAGGCCAGATTCCAGCGTGAAGCTAAAGGACGATAAGATCTAATTGTAAAAAAATCCCATTAAAAATACAATCTTTTTGCTTTTCCAGATCTAAACATGCTTCAAGCTTCAATCCTCGATTATCAGCGAAATTGGAATGATAATGCAACCTTGTGGTTTCCAGTATCTTGGAAACCTCCTGAGCACTCTCTGAAGCTTTCAAGAAATGATCATCAATCTCATTCAAAACCTCCATCAAATTCACACCAGAAACGGCCTTCGCCATTCTCCTCAAATCTGCCGGAGCCGTTTTAGAATGCTCAATATGCACATGCTGCTTCCCTTTTCCATCATCACGTCCATCGCCGCCTTCTCCAGCTTCTTTGGCTCAATCTCACTATCAACTCCGCCGTGGTCGCTAAACCCCACATCACTGACATTGTTCTCTAAAGAATCAACATTTGTACTAGCGCATTCGTTATCGTCGTCGTCCAAATCCAAGCTCGGACCCGGCATGCTATCGTCAACCATGAAGAAGTAATCACAGGCCACGTTTTTAGCTTCGGGCATCAACGGCGGGTGGTTGACGCCAGACAGAATAACGATTATCCTGTAGACTAGTTCCAACAGATGATTCACAAGAGAAAATTCGTCCAAAAACCAGAGAAAAAAGTCTCTAGAGTTTAATAAAATAGTATAAAATCAAAACTCCCAAAATCAGTCCACAAGCCGGACTGTTATAGCCAAAAATATTATTTATCGAAATTTTACCAAAAAATAGTAAAATCCCGAAAAGCACTCTAAATTGAAATTCAAAATAAAATAAGCAATCTGCAAAAAATCCGACCGAAATCGGATTTAAAATGACTTCCAAATTGACAATCGAAATATTACTATAAATAGTAAAAAATATCTAAATATAGTGATTCAGAGGAAAAACGACAGAATTTGAGATCGAAAAAAAGGTCACATGGAGCGTAGTTTCATGTGGACAGCATGCGCGTCGAAAAGAGCTTTCCGGATTGGGGTTTTATGCGCGATTCTGACACCCGTAGCCAAAGTTATAGTCAAAAGACTGAAGCACACTTAAAACGACCCCAATGAAGAACATATCACAATCAATTCCCGTCTTTGCGTTGATTTGCCAACTCATGGTATCTCAGCGCCATCAAGGTGCAATCTGACAGCTCAGCATCATCTGTCTCGGATCCCTCTACATCAGTGGTGGTCCACGTTGTTGTTCTCAGGAGTCCTTGTGGGAGTTACCTCCTCCCTACGAGGCCCTCTTGACTCGTTTCTGAAATATTCCTTATTATTATTATCATCATCATCATTTCTATCACGATGTTCTTCTTCATCATCATCATCTTCCTCCTCATCCTCCTCTTCTTGTTCTTCTATAGCGAAGGAAGCATCAAACTCCTTTCGACTCTCGACGGGCATTGCGGGCATACTAACGGAGCGTTTGATGGGAACGGGGTTAGGGGTGAAGTTAGGAAGCGGTGGCAGTGGAGGGAGACTGTCCATCATTGGAGGCGGTGGAGGCGGTTGAGGAGTAGAGTCAAGAGGAGGGATATGATCAGGGTTCAGGAGAGGGACTTCAGCTTCTCCATGGCCATAGTCACTCAAGGCAGCTCCAGTGTTCTTCAAGGAATTCGCATAGCCAGATTGAGCAGCTGCAACCGCTTCTTTCATTAACCATTTCCGTTCCTTGGAAGGTAACATTTACATTTTCTATAAAAATAAATAAATAAAACAAGAGTTAATTACAGCATATGTCCTTAAAGTATAATTTTTATTTTAAATTATTTTCTAAACTTTTAAATGATCGAATTTCATTCTTTAAACTATAATTATTTTAGAATACGAATCGCCCACGCGTTACAACAACTAGATGCCAAAGCCAGATGTCTTCTACTTATAATTCATTATAGAAGCGAATCTTACATCATTTTTTATTAGAAAAAGACCAACTTGCGAGTTTTTAACCGCCTTCATTGTCTACAAAGTTCTATTTTTAGACAGAATAAAAGAAATACGGAGATGGAAGTGAACCAAGGGTCCATCGATTTTCTTTCAAAGTTCCTTTTTACCCTCATATAGGAAGGAGTATGAGAGAGTAATAATCAAATATTTAATTTCTTTTTTAATAAAATAAATAAGAGATCATTGTAGTATGTTTAAATAATTATTTTAATTATTCAAAGGTTTAATATTATAAATTAAGTGTCTAAATTATAGCGTTTTCTATAAATAGGTGTTCAACGTATATTTTTGTTAATTTAGTGTCTAACGTTTTTTTTGTTTAAGTTTAGTGTCTAATATTTTATTCCATAATTCAGTTTGGGTCGCAGTGACCAGACTATTAATTTCAACCGTTTAATACAATTTGAAATTTATTTAATATTAAAAAAAATTAATTTTATAATTAAAATAATAATAAATTAATTAACTCCCTCGCCTTCCCCTTCCCCTTCTTGTTTTTACAACCACCATGCTTATCTTGAGATCACTGTCTTCACGAGGAGGAAGGGGACGCGTTTTTGTGTCGGAGTCAAGAGACATCAGATCGGGACATTCAAGTTGGCTGTAGGCCCAGGATGGGGTGAAGGGAAGCCAGTGATTCTTTTCAATGGATGGATCGGTAAAATCAAACATGAGAATGGAAAACCAAGAGTTGAACTTCATTTGAGAGTGAAACTAGATCCAGATCCAAGATATGTATTCCAGTTTGAAGATGAGACGGTGCAAAGTCCTCAGATTGTACAGCTTCAAGGTTCCGTAAAACAACCGGTCCTCAGATTGTACAGCATCAAGTTCCCGTAAAACAACCGATTTTCAGTTGCGAATCCAGTCGAGACAGGTTATGTAAAGCTATGAGTTGCTTCATCTGTTTCCATTTGTTGCTGCAATTAGTTCGGAAATGATTCTTGGAATGAAAGTATCAATGGTTGTTTTGAACTGCAGGTTGACCCATTGAACACTTATTTGTCAGGTTCAGCTCGCAATTTAGACATAGAAACGGGTAGAAGAGAGAGAGAGAATGGGAGGGGATGACTAATGAGAGGGAATTAATTAATTTATTATTATTTTAATTATAAAATTTATTTTTTAATATTAAATAAATGTAGGTGACATTTAACAATTGTATTCATTAATAGTTCGTTACTGTTAAACCTAAACTGAGTTACAGAATTAAATATTAGTCATTAAACTGGAGAAAAAAGACATATTGGACACCTTTTTTACGTTCAAGTCTTTCTTGAATAATCCTAGTGCCTAGTGTTATATTACCACTTTAGGTGGTCGAGATGTAATGGCCGTCAAAGAATTCCGTTGATAAGCAGGTGTCACAATTAGATAATTTTGAAATAATTTTAAAAACAAAAATTATTATATTTATAAAAATGTTATTTTTCTAAAATTACAAAAAAGCCCTATAATCCTTAAATCTTAACCCTAACCTTAACTCCACCTCCATTTTCGGCCACGGCTATCGCCTTCAACACCATCTTTGCCATCTTCGTAGTCAGACGAAAATGTGGAGTCGCGATGGTCGTCGTTTCATCACGTTCGTCGCCATTTCGTCAAGGTAGACAATGTAGATTTTGTCGCGATTTCATCATAATTTTAGGGGTCTTCGATTGTTGTTATGGCGGTTGTTCATTGGATAACTGGTCTTCGGTGGAGGATTGACAAGATAGAATTCCAATCAATGATGACGACGATGACGAACATGGGTATGGGGACTAGATTAGGGTTTTCAAAAGTTTGGGGGAGGTTTTTAAGATTTTTGAAAACTTTAGTTTTTTAAAATGTATTTTTAAATAAAATTACCTAGGGTGACAATGTCACTTAATAGAGAAAATTAATGTTGTTTATGACCCGGCCACCTAAAGTGATAACGTTTGTAACGTTATGCACTGAAATCATTCAAAAATAGTCAAGACACCTATACGTAAAAAAGTTTATAGTTTTAGCACTTATTTTAGAATTAAACCTTATTGAAATTTAAAAAAAAAATATTATTAAATTTGTCGAACTACTATAAGATTTAATGAATTACCAAGTTAAAATCCATGGAGATTCACGGCATGAACAATCCGTTAAGAAAATTCTCATATCTACCAAACACAAACAAAAAACCATGATGTTCTAATAGATTTATCACCAAACCACTACGTTACAATAAGTAATACTATCATTTTATCCATTACTAAGAACATGATCCATGGATATTTCTTTAAGCTGTTTTAATGCACACTAAAGGGCTCTACTCTTCAGGATTCTACTTTGGGACCCAAACAATGTGATCCTGAGGAAGGAAATGGCAGATGGGAACGGTTCCTGGCTCAACCTTGAGGACTTGAAAAGCCAAATGCTTTGGGTTCCATGCCGATGTATCCGTGTGGCAAACTGCGACTGCTTTGGCTTTTGTTCCGTCGGCACCGTTCAAAGGAACCGTGTAAGCCCTGGTTGTTTCCGATTTATGGCAGTAGAACACGGCGTACGCATAATTCTGCTTGTGGCATACCACGGCTTTGTCGCCTGCGATTCTCTCTACTCCGGCGGATATTTTGAATTTCTGCTTTGGGGTTTGTTTTTCCACCTCTGTTGAGACTGCCTGGCCGATTTTCCCGAGCTTGGAAGTGGTGAAGTCGATCATTGATTCAAGTGAGGTTGCGCAGTATTTTTCTTCTCCTAGGATCGATGGCTTTTCGCACTCCTTGATCGTGTTCTTCATTGTCTCTGCCTCTTCCGATCCGGATTTTACTGAGAATTTGGTGAAGATTTCTGGCAACTTGTCTGATGAAAACGGTATCGTTTGGGATATTTGGTAAGGTAAGAAGGTTGATTTCTGTGTGTTTTGATTGAAATGCAGGGTCATCGTTGCACCGGGGTGCATGTCTTTTTCCAAAAAGAAAAGTGCCACGTTCGGGTCGTCGTGGATTTGAGTCTCGGTGGCTGCATAATTGTAAATAAACGGTGAAACGTGAACGTTTACTGGCGGCTTTCCCTTGTGCCCAGTGTTTACAGATACTCCTCCGCCTTTGCCGCCGACGCTCACATGACTGCCACCGCCGCCTGGTTTTTTTTCCCGGTGTTCACTCCAACTCCGCCCTTTCCGACATTTACGTGAGTGCCGCCGCCCCCTGGCTTTCCTTTCCCGGTGTTCACTCCAACTCCGCCCTTTCCGACATTCACGTGAGTGCCACCACCTGGCTTTCCTTTCCCGGTGTTCACATGTACTCCGCCCTTTCCGACGTTCACGGCGGTACCCCCAGGCTTCCCTTTCCCTGTATTGACGTTTACACCACCACCTCCTACATTCACAGACGTACTTTTCTCCCCTAACAATTATGCAAATACACCGAAATGAATGCATCAGTCATCATATTTACTCATCCATGGTGAGTAAAATGATTTGAAGAAAAATAACCATTAGGGCATTGAACACTCACCGGGATGTAGAATTTCTTGGACAACCTTCGGCATCGGAGTATCCGGCAGCTTATTGTTCCAATACTGCTCAGGTGTGAGAGCCGCATGGCTTGCCACCGCAGCAAGCTGCAAAAACACACAACAAACAAGAAAAGTTCAGGTAACATAAAAAACACACAAGAAGCAGCAATCACATGCAATCGGAAAACTTACTGCTAGGAATGCAAGAACCGGCGAGAGAACCTTCATCGATATCCGAGCAAAATAATTCTAAAAAAAGAAAGTGTTGCATAGGAATGGAAAGTAGGGTAAAACTGGTTCACATTTATAATGAGATATGAACCAGGAGTTTTCGGACAAGTAGGGAAGTAAATGCTGACCTAACTCGACTCAAAAACTCAAAAAAATGAGTTATATTCGGCTTAAAATTTCGTGAGCATAATATTTTTAAGTTTCACTCGAATTTGAAATCATGAAGTGAAGTTCGTAAAAGCTTGAAATGAAAAAAAAAATTAAACTTAATTCCATCGAAACTCAAACTCAAACCTGATTATATAAACCTTAAATGCATAAAAACTTTATACTGTATTTTTCTAAAAAAACTATCACATAAATATTAATATTATTAATAATTTATTTTTAAAAAATAAAATATTAATATATTATATTTTTAAATTACTCGCGAGTTTTTAAAATTTAGAGATTTTAGACATGAATGTCATTTAGGTCCATCCATGTATAATATTTGTGACCTAATGATATTTATGTTCGAAGGGAAAATAAACTTTTCATTTGATTCTCGAGAAAATAACATAGAAAGTTGTAAACGAATTGATTTTGACAGTATTTTTAATCATTTTTCATATGAATTTTGATATAAAAATTCGTAGATCCCTTATAATTTTAAATTTAACAAATTAATTTATAATATAAAATATTTTAAACAACTCATTTTAAATATAAAACCTTCACATTATTTGAGACGGATAGAGAATGTAAGGAGGCAATGAGGTGAGCCTTTCGCCCCCTCTGTTTGCATTTACACCAGTGTCTTTTAGATAGAACTGTGAAAGATGGCTGCCCGTCGGTGATAAGCGTTTATGATAACCTGTTTGGGAGATATTTTATTATTACGAAGGATGGACTGACTCAGTGCTTGGATAATTATGTTGTTGGAAATTTTACATTTCAGTTTAATTTTTCTTTTTTTTGTTAATAAATTTATAATTTTGTATTTCTTAAATTTTTTATATAGGCGTTAACCATATATTTAAATTAAAAAAATAAGTACTCAAACTACACCTTTTTTTTTTGCTTTAAGCTCTTAAACTATTTTTTGGTCAAATTAAACCCTTAAACTATTATATTTAACCATTTTAGGTTCTATCATTTTTTAGTTATAAAAATATTTTTTTGATCAATAAGACATTGACATATCATATAAAATTATGTACTTGTTTTGACTAATAAAACAGTTTAAGAGATTAAAAGCAAAAAAATAGTCATAGTTTAAGGACTTATTTTGAGAAAAAAATAGTTTAGATGCTTAAAATAGTTATATACAAGGACGGGCACATAAATTTATATTAGGGGTGCGAACTTAAGAAGTTATATTAAAAAATTTAGACAGTGCACAATTATAAAATTTTAGACAGCGTGAAATTAGATAATTAATAAAAAAAATCTAAAATAATATAGTTGTATAAAATATAATTATTACCACAGTAATTACAATCATACCTAACTATTATGAATTTTAATTACTTAAACATATTTTAAAAAGAATATGTGATAACCCAACAACCAATTGATTTAATGAAATATGACTTCAGATTCCTTAAGCAATGTTAAGGGTTCGAACCATGGTGTTTGTGTATGGAGCAAACTAGGTTATGAGGGCCGATCACCCCCCATAATAGGCATCTATAAAATCCGATCTGAATTGTCAATAAATATATCATATAACAATGAGTAATTCAATATATATAGATATGTATATATCATTGATACAAACAATAATTTTATATTATCACAATATTAAAAAATTAAAATAATTAATTAAATTATCAAAATAATGGATGGTATTAAAATTAATGTACTAATATGTGAATAAAAAAATTTAGGTATTAACTTAGATGAAGGTACATAATTTATATATCAGTTTTAGAACTATTTTTAAGTACCAAATGAGGGGAAAATATTTAATTTAAATAATAAAAGTATATTTAATTCAAAAATAATATAATGTAAAGCTTCCTTTAATAAATCTCTCCCACCAACAAAATGAAATGCCGTGCACCGCCCTTGCACTATTAAACCGTAGACTTGTTTACATCGGAATTAGAAGTTAGAGGTTAGACTAGAGACTTAAAGGTTAGATTCTAGAAGCCACTTTTCGACAGTATATTCTTTTAGGCCTAGGCCAAGCGTTTGTCCCTTTCGGCCTTTGGAAAATTGATCTATACCGTCGGCTTTCAATCTAATATTGAAAAAACCCAAAGAATAATATCCTCTGGATTAGGGATGTTCACTAGAGTCGAACTTGATGAATTTCGATTTAATTCTATCTAATCATGTCGAATTTTAAAAGAAATTGAGTTAAATCGAGTCAAGTTTTTTAGAAAATATATTTGTCTTAGATTCGAATTTAGAGTGAAAAATATTTGACCCGACTAAAAAATAATCTAAATGTATCTTATATATTAAAGATAATTACAATAATAACTTTGTATATATTATTGTTTTTTTTATATAGAACCATATTTTATTGAATAAAAATAATATTTTTTTATAAATATATTTATTTCGGATCGAGTCGGGTTAGGTTTGAGTTTTATCTTAAAAATCGAGTTGGATGAAGTCACCCCTAAATTCAAGTCAGGTCAAATTTTGAATAAATGATATATATTTTTCGATCGGATCAGATTGACTAAAAATACACCTCGACCCGGTCTATGCCAATTCCTACTTTAAAGTTTAAACCGTAGCTTTAGGAGGAGCAGAAAGGGATATCTAGAATTAGATTATGAATAATAAATATATTGGAGGTAAATAGCGAAATTAGAAAATTTAAATTATAATATTAATATTTTTAAAGTGATATTTATTTATTTTTAATATTTTTATACAAATTTTTCATAAATACTTCTTAGATAAGATATCAAAAAAACTATTTTTTCTGAAATGGAGATTAACTTTCTCATTTGTTATATAAATTGTTGAGAAAAATAATTAAGAATCTCGTACATAAATTATCATAAAATAGACTTTTCTTTTTATTAAGCTAAGTTAATTATTAAGTAATATTTGTTTTAATTTTTAAATACTCTTAATCACCCTGATACAATTGTTGATGCTTAAATTTGTGACCTCTAAAAATAATAACATTTCCTTTAACCATTGAGGCAAGTTGATTCGTGTCATAAAATAGACATAAAACTCGTAAAAGAACACATTCATGTATGCATATGAAACCATCATACTTTTTCAGCAAAATTATCTTTTTCTCTATTATATTTTTAGATAAATTATGTGTTTACTACCTAAATTATCAGTTTAGTCTGCTTTAGTATGTAAACTTTCAATTTATTAAAAAAAATCATACATAACGTTTAGTTTTTGTTTCGTTTTAATACCTCACCGTTAAAAACTTGACAGGTGATTTACTTGTGGCACCATTTTTATGGGTAAATTGTATCATCCATCACTCAATTATCTTCTCACTCCAATTTTGATAACTAAAGTTTAATTTTTTAATTTAATTACTTAACTTTCAAATTACTTATAATTTAATCATTCTAACTTTCAAATTTATTTTTTTAATTATCTATTAATAAAATAATAATAAAAAATGTAATGTCACACAAATTATTAATAAAATAAAATAGAGCGATTAAGATAGAAATAATTTGAAAGTTAAGTAGTTAAATTGAAAAGTTTTAAACATCAGTATCAAAATATGAGTGAAAAAATAGTCCAGTGATGAATAATATAATTTACCCATAAAAATATAGTGCCTTTAAGTGTTTAATGACGATGTACTAAAGCAAAAACTAAATATTATATATGATTTTAAAAAAATTAAAAATTTATGTATTAAAATGTACAAAAATTGCATCTCAAAGTGTTTTTCATCAAGACCCTGTTTGTTTTAATACCATTTGCTTTGGTGGGGATTTGTGTCATCCACCCTCTTTTGATTCAGCACTGCAATTGGGGAGAAATTATTTTATAGTTACATTATTTATGGTATCAGTGAATTACATCTATTAATTTTAAAATAATTTTAAAATAGTTGTACACTTCTTATTTACACGTAAAAATATATAAATATTCATCTCGCCAAAAATGAGACGAAAATTATTATTAATTTTTGCAATTTGAGATGATAAAGTCATTATTGTTTTTAGAAATGTTTTTGGCAAACCAACACAGGTGGGGCGGTTTTAAGGTGACATCATCTTTATTAGATAGTAATCATCATTAGGGAGCTGTAAAACTCTTATTATTGGGAGGAAAAATGATTAAAGCAAACTCATGAATCATGTTTTAAATAACCACTAGGCCTTTGCTTTTCCTCAGGTATTTCTACTTTCTAGTTCTACAACCATTTATGCCAAAACACCACTTTCTTCTTTCCAAATCCATTCCCAATTATAATATCAAGCAGCATTGCAAAATACGAGTTAATTCTATCACATGTCCTCAAAGTATGATTCTCATTTTAAATTGGTCCCTACACTTTTCAATATTCTGATTTCATCCCTAAACTATGATTTTCGTTCCAAATTAATTCTCAAACTTTTGAACATTTCAATTCCACCACCAAACTACGACCTTCATTCTAAATTGGTCCCCCAAAACTTTTTGAACATTTCAGTTCATCCCAAACTATACATATATAGTAATCACATCCCTTGTTAACAAAATCATTAGATTATATTATTATATGTTTCAAAAACACAAAATTTATGTTAAACCACGGTTGAAACTAATTGCATATTTGGATGAATTTGGGGATGAAAGCGGAATATTCAATAGTTTAGGGACCAATTTAGAAGAAGGGTCATAGTTTAAGTATGAAATTAGAATGTTTTAAAGTTCAAGGACTAAATTAGAATAAGAGTCATGGTTTGAGCATGAAATTGGAATATTCAAAAGTTTAATGACTAATTCAAAATGAAAGCTATAGTTTGGACACATATGATACATTTAACTCTAAAAAGACAAATATAGGATTTTATTTTAAAGATGAAAATTTAAAGATATAAAATTATAAAATTTT